TCTTTCTCTCTTTCTCTCTTTCTTTCTTTTTCTTCTTTTTTTTAATAGAACAACTGCCAGGTTTTCTTTTATTATTTTTTTTAACTTAATTTTATTTGTGTGTGTTTGTGTGTGTGTGTTAAAAAGCAATGAGCATACATGCTCAAGTCCGTGACATTGTTCACATGCACGTTGGGTAACTGTTCTCACTATCCCTTTCCAAGTAATTCCATTACTGTTGATGCAAAATCACTGCTTGCTCCCCATGCTTCTCATTTAATTGTTAGGGATGCTATTACCAAGTTGATCCTACATAGAACGATTTTTGAGAGAGCACAGTTCTCAAGGCAGATATACAGGATTGTGTGGTTCAAAGCCATCTTGTGACAAACGTTTGGTTTGAAGTTTCAAGTCTAAAGATGAGCTCAGAATCATAGTATTTGGGGATTCATACAACCTCAGTGGCTCCAAAAGTTTTGGCTTCCATTTAGAATTTAAAATTCTGTCCTGTTCTTTTTTTTCCCCCCATTTTGATCAGGATTCTTCTACAGATTCTTAGATGGAAGAGTTTAGTAATGATAACGGGACAAACCAAGTTAAAATTGCTGCAGGAAGATGAGGCATGAATGGGAGAGAGAAATTACCTAATCACCAGCGCTATTAGACAAAGAGGCTTTACTGCCTGTGGAGCATCAGTGGACTAACGTTCCAAATGCCGAGCTCCCTGATACACTTTTGTACTAGTTTTATATAGGATCACATAGGGCTGGGCAGTGAGACCATTGTGTTACTTTCTCATTGGTGGTTCCTAGATAAGCAGCTTTTTACAAAAGCATAAGCAGCTGTTAGTTTCCTTTGTTTGTGACCTAGGCTTCAAGATCTTATGGGTGGGGCCTCTTCCCTCATTCCGCCCTTTAAGGAGCTCTGGTAGCATAGAGGCTTTCTGCTCCCATAAAGATTTACAGCCTTGGAAACCCTATGCAGGGTCACTATGAGTCAGAACCGACTCCACGGCACAAAACAACAACAAAAACAACAACATAATTATTTGGAGTCTCACCATCTATCTGCCTGCCTTTACAGGAGTTGATACCTTTTTGCCACTGCAAGTTTTGGGGCTAAGCGATGGTCAATTCTAAGGGGTTACACTGATAAGTTTGGCACTTAGACGTGGTTACTCCTTTAAGGAGCACCTGGGTGTCATTTGTTGGGTTTTGCCAGGCAGTCCATTTGACACAGCTCCATAAGGCACATGAAATGGAACAGGATGGATTTTTTCCACAAAGGTACTCATTTTCTACCGTGCAGCTTCTTTCCCAGCTTAGTGACCTACAGGAAATGCCCCAGTGTAACTAATGGCATTACAAGCATCAAATTTCAATCTTATCTGGCTGGGGTTTCCCTTTACCTCTGTTTGCACAACAATGGGACCAGCATTGGAACCAGGTGGAAACACCACAGCCCTAAAGTTCGAAGGCTACAAGAATAGGGGGCTCATCTGGGTCATAACACACATGTGTCTTCTTTGGGGTGGCACAGATGGAGAGCTGAGTAGAGTTATAATACATTTCCCTGCCTGAGAGCCTTCGCAGTGGGAGTATCTATAAAAAAAAAACAAAGTTCAGGCGATGCACGGCGCACCCAGGTGGTTTGGATGCACCATGTCACAACCACCATCTCCTTTTTCCGCTGCAGTCAGGTGAGCCACTAGATTTGCTAGGAAAAGAATCATCAGGCTTCGGCCGTGCGTGGACCAGCCAGCTCCCAGTCTGTGGCTGGAGCAGGGCTATCGATCAGCTTAGCATCATGTTGCGGAGATTGGTAAGGTCTGTTTTCGCTGTCCACTGTGGTGAGGTTTTTTTCAGTCTGCTGTGATGAATCCAGGCGGGGATCCCTTCTACCTTTGCTGCCATCAGCATGGTCATAATGACAGTGGTGAAGGGACATCTCTACCTGGGTTTGAGGGAAGTTCAATTCCACTCCTTAACTCAAACTTGGTCTCCTGGAGAAAAAGGATGAATAGGTACAGAGTATTTTCTGAACGAATCTACTTTGGCATTGTGTTACACACACATGCTAATTCACATTGCAGTTTTGTCTCCTAACACTTGTTCCATGGGTTTTTGTTTTCTTTTTCTAATTCAGAACGAATATGAACTCTACATGGCCATCCTTCTCGATTCCCAGCCAACGGCCCAGTACAAGGTAATGCTCAACCACGGACTCACATCCCTTCATTTATATTTTGAACTTGAAGTTTAAAATATCCAACTTATACAATAGGAAGCATAATTTATTAATATATGGCAAAACCGGAGCTTTACAAGGAGGTAGCTTATAGTATAAAGACTGAAAAATTATGGTGAAAGAATACAACCATAGCACACACCTCTCCTGGTTTAAAACTGTATGTGTGAATCATGGTCTTTGTCTTGTGTTTTGAGCTTCTCATGTTGCAAAAACGTAACACACTTGCTTTCCAAGAACAAAGAAAGATTTCAATTGGTTACCTATCTGCTTTGTTCCTTTCTGTGGCTAAACCAAGAAGGAACAAACACATCCTTATCTTTTTTTTTTTTTTTTTAAGGTGTTGTGAATTGAGTGACAGTTTACATGCAGAACAGCGATTTTGCACTCAACCAATAGTATTTTGTTTCATTGCAATGATTACAATCCCCTCCATGCACCATCAGTTAACAGTATTTGTCTTTATCCCCTCCCCTCCTTTTTCTTTTATGTACACAAAAACATGCAGGGACATATAATCATTTAAACAACCAACGTGCACATTTTGTAAACCAGAGCCCTGCCCATCAGCACCAGCCTTTCTCTTTCTGTGACTCTAGAGTCCTCAGATGCTCTTATCTCTCCATGCCATCATCTCTGCCTCTGACTCTGGTGTTGCTGTTTCTCTGGTTAGTACCCCACATTCTGCTCATGCTCTTTCCTCTCGCTGGTCCTAGGGTCCTCTGCTACTGGAACATAAGAGTAACTATCCCCCCCCCCATTTTTGTCACGCAACTTCTACCTTTGAAATTGTGACTATTGCCATGAGTCATGATAACAATTGCTCACTATTGAATCAAAATAATTCTATGCTCATTTCCATTCACCAGATCCATCTAGACAAGATGAAAATTATTCAGTGGGGGATCTACCTTCCCCCACACTTTCTGAAACTAAACTGCCTCCTGAAAACTTGTAAGCCAGCCACTTCATGCCTTTGTAGCCCCATGGCCCCAACATTTTAGGTCATAGATGTCTAAGTTGCCTGCTCCTATCAACCTTGTGTACTGAGGGGATAGGCTTGATCCTTGATTTGAAGACTCCTTCCCTCTTGGTTGGTATTTTGTGCTATAAGTAAAGGTCCAGTTCATCAAATTTACACCTGTATCTTAATTATGCACCAGGATGAAATAATTCCCAAGTTAGTAGGGCTTTGGGACCTTCTCTCAAAAAAGAATTATTCTTTCTAAAATGCCTGAGAGCTGGGCTATGTCCATTGAAGTTTCAGGCAAACATCTTCATTGTTCCCATGTGAGTATAATAATACTTCATCTATTTATAGATTGGAGAAGCCCTGGTAGTATAGTGGATAATGAGCTGGGCTCTTATCTATAAGGTCAACACTCACTCACTCCATGGATAAATACATGAGATTTTCTGCTCCTGTAAAGATCCTACAGACTTAGAAATCCTATACAGTGTCACTATGTCAACACGACTCAACAGCAAACCACCACCACCACTATTATATCCAACTAGACAACATCAATAACAACATCATTAGTTTTGTTGTTGCTAATTGCTGTCAAGTAGGTTTCGACTCATAGCCACCCTGCGTAGGATTTCAGAGGCTTTATATCTCTGGAACAGAAAGTATCATTGTTCTTGCAGAACAGCTATCAGACTCGAACCGCAGAATCATGTGGTTCTCAGTTCAGTGCTTAGCATGTGGAGTCACTGCACTCCCACAGAATTAAGCTAGGAATCAATACAAGAAAGAGTGAAATTTTTTTTTTTTCAAATATTTGAAAACCAAACAATATTTTTCTAAAAATATTATTTGGGGAAATGAAATGACACATAAATGAGAAAATGTTTTAAAGTGAATGAGATCAAAACGTACCTTAACAATTTATGGGAAGTGTAATTAAAGCAATGCTTATCAGGAAACATCCACCACTCATCATTTTGTTGTTCTGTGGTTGTTTGAGTGTTTCTGTGATTCTGGAAGCTATGCCACAGGTATTTTAAATACCACCAGGGTCACCCAGAGTGAAAAGGTTTCAGCTGAGCTTCCAGATGAAGACAGACTAGGAAGAAAGAGAGATGAACTGTTTCTGACTATTTAGTCACTGAAAACCTTATGAATAGCAGTGGAACACTGTCAGCACCAGAATATTGACTATTGAAACACGACAAAGAGCTCCAGAATATTGTCAGATACAGTGCTGGAAGATGAACCCCTCAGGTTGGAAGACACTTAAAATACAACTGGAGAAGAGCTGCCTCCTCAAAGTACAGTTGGCCATTATGGTGATGACACGAATAGAATAAAGCCCTCAGGACCTCCATTTGCTGTTGGAGTACAATTCAAAATGAAGAGAAACAACTGTAAGCTTCCATTAGTAATTGGAACATGGAATTTAAGAAGTCATATTATAAGGAGGGACCAGTCCCTAGAGAAGAGTATCATGCTTGGTAAAATAGAGAGTCATAGAAAAAGAGGAATGCCCCCAACAGTGGCAGAATCAGTGGGCTCAAATGTAGCGATGATTGTTAGGTTGATGCAAGACCAGACAATGTTTTGTTCTGTTGAGCCTAGGTTCTGTCTACGAGTTGGTACCAACTCGATGGCACATAATAACAACATAAGGAAATATATTGCATTAGATGTTTATAATAGAAAATAAATCAAGTAACTGAAATTGTACTTTAAGAACCTGGAGGACATTATGTTGAGTGAAATGAGTCAATCAGAGAAGACAAAATTTTGTATGAGACCACTATTATAGAGTCAAGAAAAGGCTTACGTACAGAAGGAAACATTCCTTGAAGGCCATCAGTAGTGAGTAGGAAGGAAGTGTAAGTCATTAACCCGAGGGTAGTTACATATTAACTTGGGTGAAGGGAAAGGCAATATATAATAAGGAGAGGTCAGCACAAAATGATCAAGACAAAGAAAGTCACTGTGCAGAACACAGAGAATAAAGCAACAAATAGTGCTATGTAAGTTTTACTCAAATCTCAAAAAGTTAAAAAAAAAAGAAAGAATAAAACAAAGAGAAAAAGGACACAGAAGATTACCCAGACTATTTTATGAGACAAGCCTTATATTGATACCCAAACCAGAGACATTACAAGAAAATTAAATGACAGATCAGTGGATGGAAAGGAATGGTATGAATGGATCCGTAACTGGAAAGTAACATTTCATATGGGGTGGGGAGTGGGGAGGAACTAGCTCAGGAATGCAAAAGTGACTTAATACTCAAACACCATTCAATATAATCCAACATATAAAACTGAACAAAAGAAAACAACTTATGACCATGTGTTTAGGAGAACTAATTGTGGTGTTAATAAGTAATTAACCAGAAGCACTGTATTCAGTACATCCTTTCCCAATGCAAACCAACAATGGAAGTTCCCATCACTTAAAACCATTTCTTTGAAAAAGGACTCACTGCCATTGAGTCGAATGTGACTCACAGCAACTCTATAGGATGGAGTAGAATTGCCCCATGGGGTTTCTGATGCTGTCAATCTTTACAGAAGCAGACTGCCTCATCTTTCTCCTATGGGACTCCGGGTGGGTTCCAACTGCCAACCTTCTGGCTAGCAGCCTAATACTTAACTCGCTGTCCCACCAGGACTCTTTCCTTTAGAAAATTAAAACCTTAAATTTTGAAAGAAATCATCTTGCCCAGAATTTCACTTCAATAACTTCAGTGTTTCTCCCTCCCTTAAGTCCTGCCTCTTGGTTACTTCAGTTATAATTCATATTTTAACTCGGAATGTCTTAAACAGACTGCAGTAACAGCATACTTAGAGTTGTTTCTTGTGCGTTGCCTCATGCTCTATTTGCCTTGTCTTGTCCAGACTTTGTTAGCTCACATCAAGGGACTAGAAAGGAGATCTGTGAAGACGGCTGATGTGGACCAAGCCAGAGAGGATCTGAGAGTGACTGTGAAGGCCACCAAAGCTGCCCTGGAGCACAATGACAGGTACGATGACAAGATCTGGTTGGATCTCTTTTTACACCCATTGATTTATGTGACAGATGAGTATTTACAATTGTTCTGAATTGTTGGATTTACCAATATCACTCCTGTCTATCCTCTGGCTTCTTCCATCAGCCATCACACATGTGACTAGGAGGGTATTCTCCTCCATGTGGCACTTCAATTGGGGGTAAAGATTGGATGGAGTTGGAAAGGTTTCTGTAAAGGGGTCTCAATTCTCACTTGGTAAATCCATGAAGACTTTCTGGTAGGTGAGACGGCTGCAGCATCAAGATGCTGTTTATGAATTTCATTATAAGATATATGCTGTTGTGGTGGTGCCCTTGAATCAGTCCTCACTCATAATGGCCCTATATAATGTTTCTGAGGAGTAACTGGTGAGTTTGAATCACCAACATTGGGTTTAAAACAGACCTTAAAGTCCAATGTTTATCCTATAGCCCCACACCAGGATGCCATTGTTGTTGTTAAGTGCCATCGAGCCAGTTCTGACTCAGAGTGACCCTGTATAGGTTTTCCAAGGAGTAGTTGGTGGGTTTGAACCACCAACCTTGTAGTTATCAGTCCTGTGCTGATCCTACAGTGTGACACCTGGTCTCCAGTACTCTATTAGATACATATTTCATTAATCCATGGCATCTCTTCAATCTTCCAGAGTCAGATCATAATTGAATAAGAAACACATTGCAAAAGATTTTAAGAAGAAGAAAGATTAAAACAAATCAGTGGTGCTCATGTAAATCAGATATATCACAAATATCCTCAAGAAATTCCAAAGCAAAAATCAATTAAGTTCTTAGTGTGACCAGAAAATGGAAATACCTGTAGATAGAAGAATGTATGTCAAATATCATGGCCCATGGTCTGTGTGCCTGCCACAAGCCTTGGTGAGAACAAGGGCATTATGGGGGAAGTTTGTGGAAGACACAGAGTGGAGCTACTGAGAGCCAAATTACCACTGCTAGATAGAACACCTACCCTATGCATAGCATAGGGGGACTGACTGATAGATTAACCAGAATACCACCAAGTGAGACCTGGTGTGGCGTATAAGATAAGCACTACAAATCACAAGGTCAACAGTTGTATGAGTTGGAACCAACTTAATGGCACCTAACACAATACAGGGTCGCTATGGGTCGGAACCGACTCGACGGCACTTAACAACAACAACAACAACACAATAACAAAAACCATACATTGATATGGAAGCAAGGAGATCCTTTTGAAATGATAACAATATGGGGGGTGGGGAAGGGTTAAGAAGAAGTGAACAACATCCTTTGTGCTGTATAGTGAAGAAAGAAGACAAGGAAATTTAGAATCATGAAAAAGAAAAGAAAAGTGAGGGAGCACATTGCCCTTTACTGGAGTCTTCTTTTCTTCACTCCAAACAAAAACAGCTATTCAGTGAAAATCAAAACAAATCCAAATAAAATAACAGCCCAAAGCATAATTTACTACACTGACAGAAAAGCATCCTCTTTAATTTAGAAAGCCACACACTACTCCACACAAAAGTTGTCCAGTAGAAATCAAAACAATCAATATGTGCAGTCAGAATGTTCCTTAGAAGCAAGAATGGAGAGACTTCATCTCTCGTACTTCAGACATGTTATTAGGAGAGACTAGTCCCTGAAAAAAGGCATTATGCTTGACAAAGTGGAGGGTCAGAGAAAAAGAGGAAGACCCTCAATGAGGTGGATTGACACAGTGCAACAACAATGGCCTCAAAAGTAACAAAAATTGTGGGGATGGCATAGGACTGGCCAGGGTTGTGTTCTGTTGTGCATAAGGTTTCTATGAGTTGGAGCCAATTCTATTGCATCTAACAACAACAGTAGCACACTACTGTATAACTCCAGACCAGTCCACAAAACAGCAGTGGTATAGACATTTTCTCTCTCTCTCTCTCTATGCAACACCAAAGAAAGAAAACAGAAAATGACAACGCAAATTGTTTAGCTGGTGAAGACACCTGCCATACATAGAAGAAAGTTAAAGAATAAAACTGTAACAGAGAACCCCAAACTAAGTGTGGTGCCTTGAATTTACTTGATATGACTTTTCTATCCAAAGCCTTCTTAATTCCCACCAAGTGATTCAGTGGGGCCATACAAATGGGCTTCTAAGGCTGGGATTGGTTAGTTTTACCCTCCAGCTAGGTTTAAAAGGTGCCATCTCAGAAACAGAGAAGGAAGATCCCAGAACCACTGAGAAGGAAAAATTTGAGTGACATATGAGATCCCTACTTAGAGAAACAGCAATGGTAGAGGTGATGGCAGAGGTGGTGGCACAGAGAAACAGAGCAGCTTCAGACTATAGGGTTATGGACTGAGTAAAACTGAGTGCCTACAGGTAGGAGACTTACTTGAAGACTGTGCCCTTTGGGTAGTCACAGACTGGGTAAAAGAATTGTAGCAAATGCTGGTACAGGGCAGAGGCCAAGGGACCATATGGCTGAACAGCCAAAGACAAGAGAGAGGCATGCCTGCAGTATGGCAGACAAGAGGCGTTCCTAACTGGAGAACTGCTGTGTTCTGAGTTAGTTTTGATCCTGAATTGTACCCTGTTCATGTCTCTAATAGATCCCATAATCATGAGTACTGTTATGAGTTCTGTGTGGCCACTGCCATAGATTATTGAACCCAGATGTGAAGCAGAGAGTGCTGAGGGAGGGAAGGTTGGTGTTAGAAGAGGGGAAAGAAGATGGTAGGCTGGAAGCATGCCTGACCTTTGCTTCAAAGCCGGCTTTGTGCTAATTTTGAGTTTGATTCTCATTCCCCCTTGTGGAACCAGAGGAAGTTAGACATGGCTCCCACATACAACCTTGAATCACAAAATTTAAAACTATGCACAGAAATAAAAAACAACCAAAAGGAAGAAATGAAACAAATTTGACAACTGAGGAAAGTAGTAGCTGAGAAAATAAAAATTATATTATACATCAGGACTAATAACAATTGTGACTGGGAAGTATTTCATTCTATTGTGCATAGAGTTGCTACTCAATGGCACCTAATAACAACAACAAGGAAGGGTAATCTCAAATGAAAACATAATAAAGTACATTGGAGAAAAACAGGAATATTACCAAGGCAATGGGGGCATGGGGGTTCTGTAGGAGAAATGCTGAACTGCTAACCACAAGGTTGGCTGCTTAAGCCCAGCTGCTGCATGGGAAAAAGATGAGGCTTTCTGCTCCTGTAAAGGTGTACAACCTTGGAGTCCTTATACAAGGCCACTGTGAATCAGAACTAACTTAATGGCAATTACCAATACCACCATCAAGAGAATAAAGCTGAGAGAGGAAATAAAAAGAGAGAAACTGGTTGAAATAGAAAACAGACAAAGAAGATTCAATTCACATATAACTCAACTCCCTGCAGAAGTAAAATAACGCATTGAAACTCATAATATTTAAAACCATAGTATATTAAAAACTTTCTTGAAATTAATCCCTCTGCATTTACACATTAAAAAGACTATTATCATTATGACTAATTTATCAGATCCCTATTTTCTTAAGATGGAGGCCATGCTATCTTTATCACTTTTCATCTGTGAAAAAAATGAGCTAATGTGTATGCAAATGTTCTTAAACCATTAGATTCTTGTTGATGGATAGAATTAAGTGATTTGTTTAACCAAAGCCCAGATTTTTCAGCCACACATGCAATATCTCATTGTTGTAATTTTTTGATGTCATCAAGTTGATTTTAACTCGTAGTGACCTTATGTGACCGAGTACAACGACCCCATACGGTTGGTTCTCTAAGCTGTTGTCTTTCTAGAACCAGATTGCTAGGTCTCTACCTGGAATCTCACTGGTTGTGTTTGAATTTCTGACCTTTTTGTAAGCAGATCATTGCATCACCAGAGCTCCTTAGTACTTTGTTGTTGTTGTTGAGTGCCATTGAGTCCATTCCGACTCATAGGTACCCTTTATAGGGTTTTGTAGGGGCTGTTAGTGAGTTTGAACTGCTGACCTTGCAGTACGGAATCCAGTGCTTATCCTTCAGTACCACACTAGGACTTCAGTACTTCATTAGACTCCTTTTTATTACAGAATGCGATGGCTCTGTACATATGAAAAGCATTGGATTACAAACCACAAGGTCAGTGGTTCGAGCCTACCAATTGCTTTATTTGGGAAAGATGATGCTTTCTGCTCCTACAAAGATTCACATCCTTGGAAATCCCATACCGGGTCTCTATGAATCAGAACCGACTTGACCACACACAAAAGCAATCCAGTAGCGAATGCATTAGAAATAGTCAACTTAGGTTTTGTGAACAAAGAAAAGGATACAAACAAAAAAAATCTCTAGCATATTACTTTTAGTTCAAATATAATGGAATTTATAAATTATACCTATGGAAAGGAGTCCTAATGTACAGAAAATTGCAAAGTTTGTTTCAAAATCAGTAGGATTTTTCTGCAGTCTGTCTATTTTATTTTATGGCTCTCAGATTATAAAATGCTGGTTTCTTTGCCTTCTTTCTTCTTAGAGACTCAAGTCACAAAATAACATCAGCCAATACTAGAGAAAGTCATTATTTTGGATTAACCAGTCCCTTTGACTAGTGGTCCATGTAATCTTGCTCAGAAAAGAGTATTTTAATTGACTGACTCAAGCTCTCGTTTTATATACATATTCAAGTTATAGTTTCTCTGGCTGGAAACTAAAGAGATCCATTTTTAACTCTCATTTTAATAAAAGGACATGAAAAATAGTCAAAAGAATAAAGGTAATCATGGGGTTCAAATGTTTGACTGTTTTCTACCTTCAAATTGTAGACTCAGAAATGAATTAGAGACAGAGCGTTTGTTGCTGCAATCAGCTAAGGAAAAATCAGGCAAGTAACTTGCTGGGATTTTGGGTAAAAAGAAACCTGGCCTCCCACCATGACATATATATTTTTAAGTTTTTCTAGGATGGTACTGTGTTTCTCTCATTCATACATTTTGTAAAAAGATGTGCCTTCACTTCTTTGGAGACCATTGAAGTGAAGCCTTTCAAGGTATGAGAATTTGGTCAATGTCTTTTGTAGGTTCCTCCCAGGTTGAGATCTTATTTTCTGTTACTCTAGATATCTCTGATTACTTTGTGTCTATATGTACCAGGTTCAACATGGTTACCATTTCATTACTCTCTCAGATATTAGTTTATTATTTTTAGTACACCATTGAATTAATTCAGAATCTTGTACAATGAGCATTGTGTCAAATTTAGATAAAAACATTGGAATCAACGCTAAGAAAAATAGGACCAAAGTGCATATACATATATATGTTGTTGCTGTTGTTAAGTGCCGTCGAGTCGATTCTGATCTGTAGCAACCCTGGATACGGTTTCCGAGGAGCAGCGGGTGAGCTTGAACCACCGACCTTGCAGTTCAAATGGCTTTGCAGTCTGGTGCATTAACTCACAATGCCACACCAGAACTGTACACAAGGGTAAATCAACAAGTACTGCTACAAAATCATAGAACACTTTATTAAATAAAAATATTAAAATGTGAAGTGATTGTTTCTCAATCTCCTCCATCTAGGCCAACTTAGCTTCTGAAGGCAGAGTTTCCATCTGTCTAACATTTCCTGAAGGATTCTGTGTTCTTGGATTCACATCACTGAAACAGCTGTTTGAGCATCCTTTAGGGACTCAAGTCAAGTTCCTTTTACTTGTACTTTGAGTTAGAAGAAACAAAAAGAAGTCTGAAGGCATAAATCAGGGCCGTAGGGTAGATGGGGTAACATTTCCTAATAAAATTATCTTAGATTAGTCACTGGTACCCTCAAAGGATGAGCAGGTGCATTGTCATATGAAAAATATCCTTCAGCACTCTTTCCATGACCTTTTTCTCACCAATGAAGTTTTCCGTTTTCTTAAAACTTATTCCTAATAAATCCCCATTATCGTCTTGTGTCCTTCAAGAAAATCTTTCAAGGTAAACCCTTTGGAATCTTGAAAAACAGTCAACAATGCTATCTGAGTTCTGACCTATTTACCTTGACTTGAACTGAATCTGCAGAGCAGTGTTGTGATGGGATTTTTTAAAAAAGACACTCCATGGAGCTCTGAAATCATTCGTTATTGTTGTTAAGATGCCATCAAGTCAGTACTGACTTATAGAGACCCTATGCACAACATAACAAAACACTGTCTGGTCCTGGTGCAATATTACAAAGGTTGCTATGTCTGAGCCCATTTCAGCTGCCACTGTGCCAATCCATCTCATTGAGGGGGTCTTCTTCTTTTTCGTTGACTGTCCACTTTACCAAGAATAATGTCCTTCTCCAGGGACTGATTTCTCCTGATAATATGTCTAAAGTATGAGAGACGAAGTCTCACCATCCTGGCTTCTAAGGAGGATTCATTCTGGCTGTACTTCTTCCAACAAAGATTTGTTTGCTTTTCTGCCAGTCCATAGTACTTTTTATATTCTCCTCCAGCAACATAACTCAAATGCACCAATTCTTCTATGGTCTTCTTTATACATTGTCCAAATTTTGTATGCATATGAGGTTATTGAAAATACCATGGCTTGGGGCAGGTGCACTTTAGTCCTCAAACTGACATCTTTGCTCTTCAACACTTCAAAGAGGTCTTGTACAGCAGATTGACCTAATGCAATATGTCATATGATTTCCTGACTGCTGCTTCTCTGAGTGTTGATGGTTGATCAGAGCAACACAAAATTTTTGAGAACTACAATGTTTTCTCCACTTACCATTATGCAATTTATTTGTCTGCTGGTGCGGATATTTCTTTTCTGTACATTAAGATTTAACCCATACTGAAGGCTGTGGTTTTTGATCTTCATCAGTGTTTTAAATCCTCTTTGCTTTCAGCAAACATGATTGTATCATCTACATATAACAGGTGATCAATGAATCTTCTTCCAATCATGATGCCATCTTCCTTTTCATATAATCCAGCTTCCTAAATTATTTGTTAAGCATACAGATTGAATATGTATTGTGAAACAATACAACCCTAGTGCTCACGTTTCCTAATTTTAATCCATTCAACATCCCCTTGTTCTGTTGGAACAATTGTCTTTTGGTCTGCATATAGGTTCCTCGTGATCACAATTAAGTGTTTAGGAATATACATTCTCTATAATGTTGTTCATAGCTTGTTGTGAGCAACACAATTGAAAGCCTTTGTGTAGTCAATTTAGCACAGGTAAACATCTCTCTTGTATTCTCTGATTTCAGCCAAGATCCATATAATATCAACAGCAATATCCCTTGTGCCATGTTTGTTGCTGTTGTGATTAGGTGCCAGTGAGTTGGTACTGACTCATAACGACCTTATGCACAGTAGAACGAAACACTGCCTGATCCTGGCCTAACCTCACTACTGTTGCCATGCTTGAGCCCATCGATGCTGCCACTTGGCCAATCCATCTCGCTGGGGGTCTTCCTCTTTTTCTCTGACCCTCCACCTTACCCAGCATGACATCCTTCTCCAGCGACTGTTTCCTCTGGATAATATGTCTGAAGTATGAGAGACGAAGTTTGGCCATCTTGGCCTCCAAGGAGAACTCTGGCTGCACTTCTTCCAAAACAGATATATTGGTTCTTTTGGTAGCCCGTGGCACTTTCAATATTCTCCTCCAACACCATAACTCAAAAGCATCAATTCTTCTATGGTCTTCCTTATTCATTGTCCACCTTTCGCATGCATATGAGGTTATTGAAAATACCATGGCTTGGATCAGGCACATCTCAGTCCTCAAGCTATCATCTTTGCTCTTCAACACTTTAAAAAGGTCTTGTGCATCAGATTTGCCTAATGCAATATGTCATCTGATTTCTTGACTGCTGCTTCCATGAATGAAGTCCTTGACAACTTCAATTTTTTTCTCCATTGCTAAGAATGTTGTTTATTGGTCCAGTGGTGAGGATTTTTGTTTTCCATACATTGAGATGTATTCCATACCTAAGGCTGTGCTCTTTGATCTTCACCAGTAAATGTTTTAAGTCCTGTTCACTTTCAGCAAGCAAGGTTGTATCATCTGCATATCGCAGGTTGTTAATGAGGCTTCCTCCAAACCTGATACCATGTTTTTCTTCATATAACCCAGCTTTTTGGATGATTTGCTCTGCATACAGGTTGAATAAGTATGGTGAAATAATATAACCTTGTCGCACATCTTTCTTAATTTTGAACTATTCAGTGTTTCCATGCTCTGTTCAAACAACTGCCTCTTGGTCCTTGTGCCATATCGTTGTCTAAATCAGGCTTGAACCACTGGCAGGTCCCTGCCAATGTACTGTTGAACTGCTATTATCTTTAGGAAAACATTACTTGAATGCTATATTAATGATATTGTTCGATGATTTTTGAATTCCTTTGCATCATATCTCTTTGAAATGGGCACAAATATGGGTCTCTTCCGATCAGTTGACAGGTAGCTGTTTTCAAAATATCTTGGCATAGATGAGTGAAAACCTCCAGAATGGCATTAGTTGGTTGAAAGATTTCAATTTGTATTCCATCAATTCCTGGAGACTTGTTCTTTGCCAGTGCCTCCAGTGCACCTTTGACTTTTTCTTCAATACCATATGCTACCTCTTCAACTGGTTGAACTTAGACCATTTCTTTTTGGTACAGTGACTCTGTGTATTCCTTTCATCTTCTTTGAGGCTCTCTGCATCATTCAATATTTTGCCCATTGTAATGATGTTGATGTTAAGTGCTGTCGAGTTTGCTCTGACCCATAGTAACCCTGTATAGTGTTTTCAAGGAGTGGCTGATGAGATTGAACCGCTGACCTTGCAATTGAAAGCAACCTTGCAGTCCAGGGCATTAGCCTACGAAGCCACACCAGGACTCATAGACTCCTTCAATATTGAAAGACAAGGCTTGAATTTTTTCTTCAGTTGTTTCAGCTTGAGAAATGCTGAGTGTGTTCTTCCCTATTGGTTTTCTAATTCCTGGCCCTTGCACATTTCATTGTATCATTTGACTTTGTCATCTTGAACTGAACTTTGAAATTTTCGGTACAGCTCTTTTACCTTGTCATTTCTTCCATTTGCTTTAGCATT